ACAAAAAAACTGTTTTAAACAAGTAACTCTAGAAGTCATGACTTCTAAGTAATTACTTAATAGTTTTGAGGTCTACCAGTTTTTCTTTTAAAACCAACCAACCAACAAACATGTTTCTGCTTGTTCTCTTACTAGTGTAATGTGGGCCTATTAAGTTATAGTTTCTTTTTTCATTGATTAAAATTTTTTTTACTACTTTGAATCTATTTTATGACCTAGTAACTAAGTATAACTGAAAGTAATACTTTTTTTGAGGGGGAAGTTAGTCATTTCACTATCTAATCACTCCTTTATTGCTCTGAATGAGTTAGGTATAGATTTGGTGGTGTGCATGTATACACGTATGTTTTTGTGATTGGAAGCTATACATATGTGTATTTATCAATATATACTTGGCAGCTGAAGTCTCTGGTCTTGAATATTTCTACCATTAACTTGCTAGTTTCTTCATTATGAATACATTGAGTGGCAACAGAAAACTTGACTAACAGCGGCATAAAACCATTGGGATTTATTTTTCTCATGCAACAATAAATTCAGAGGCTGGCAAGTTCAAGGTTGGTACCATGACTCAGGGATGTCCTCAGAGACTTGGGTTCCTCCTGTCTTCCTGCTCTGCCATATGGCTTTCCTCCTAGGATTATAAGTGACTGCTCTTTACTGTGCCTTATTCTCATTTTAAGTAGAAAGAAGAAAGAGATGCCTCTATCAGGAAAGCAAAAGCTTTTCCACAAATTCACTTCAGAATTACGACGTGCACAAGAGTCTGGGAAGTAATTTTTAAGGGGAACACATTGCCATTCTAATCAGAGTTCAGTTCGGGAGTGAAAATGGGAAAATAGATACTGAGTAGTAGGCACCTTGCAGTGTCTGCCACATCCCATATTTCCCCTTAGTTTTCATTCAGATTTAATGGATGATGATTTTCTTCATTATGAGAACAGCAGCCAGCTATTTGAAAATTAAGTCATGATGCTCTTCCCTCCTTCAAAGGGCATCAGTTATTCACATAATTGGCAGTGTCTTCAAAACTCTGTATCTGCTGTCTCGAGCTGCGGCCCAGTACTCTGCTTCTAGCTGCCTGCAGGATGGTTCTACTTGGAGATTTGCTGATTAGTTCAAATACAGTTATGTTCGAAGCTAAGTGTCTTTATCTTCAATTTGGTTATTTCAGTCAGGGTTGTCAGCATTTTTCTGAGCTAGAAGCTTAAAATAATCCTAATTTTAGAAATTCTTTATTCTCTAATCCAGTTTGCCATCATCTTCAGTTTCCTGCATTGAAATGTCTTGGAGTTGACCAAGCCCTCCCCTCCATACTGTCACTCCTGTAATTCTGACTCTCACTTTCTTACTTGTGCATTATTTACAGGGTTTTCTAGTTGATGTCGCCAATCTTATTCTTCCTCTTTTATTCATTCTGCCAATCATTAACAGTCTAATTTTCTTGAAACCTAACTTTCTAAATATTTCTTCCCTACTTCAGCATTTTTAAACCGAATCCAAATTGTTTCCTCTTTCAAAGTTTTCATTCATAACATACTTTTCTTTTTTTTTTTTTTGTGGTACGCGGGCCTCTTACTGTTGTGGCCTCTCCCGTTGCGGAGCACAGGCTCCGGACGCGCAGGCTCAGCGGCCGTTGCTCACGGGCCCAGCCGCTCCGCAGCATGTGAGATCTTCCCGGACCGGGGCACGAACCCGTGTCCCCTGCCCTGCATTGGCAGGCAGACTCTCAACCACTGCACCACCAGGGAAGCCCGATAACATACTTTTCTTATTCAATCTCTGTTTACCTTTACTTCACAATATAAATTATCATAGAATGTTCTCTTTGATGCACTGTTTCTTGCCTGCCACCACTAACAGACACACTCTATAAATTCCTGCCACAGAGACTTTTATCCTACTCTCCTTTTTTCTTTCTAGATTGAAGTATGGTTGATTTACAATATTATATTAGTTTCAAGTGTGCAACATAGTGATTCAATATTTTTAGAGATTATACTCCATTTAAAGTTACTGTAAAATATTGGCTATATTCCCTGTGTTGTACAGTATATCCTTGCAGCTTATTTATTTTATACATAGTAGTTTGTACCTCTTCATTCCCTACCCCCATCTTGCCCCTCCCCACTGGTAACCACAAGTTTGTTCTCTGTATCTGTGAGTCTGTTTCTGTTTTGTTATATTTATTCATTCGTTTTATTTTTCCTGTTCTTCTCTAGTTGTGTCCCCAGACCCCCACCCCCCAGCTGTTTTGACCTCATCATTCCAAATTCTATTTTTCAAGGCCAAGCTTCTAGATTTCTTGTTTGTTTGTTTGTTTTTGTTGCTGTTGTTGTTTTTGCGGTACGTGGGCCTCTCACTGTTGTGGCCTCTCCCGTTGCGGAGCACAGGCTCCAGACGTGCAGGTTCAGTGGCCATGGCTCACGGGCCCAGCCGCTCCGCGGCATGTAGGATCTTCCTGGACTGGGTCACGAACCCGTGTCCCCTGCATCGGCAGGTGGACTCTCAACCACTGTGCCACCAGGGAAGCCCCCTATGTGTTTTTGTGTCTATTCTGCACTATATTTTGAAGAAGTGTGATGTAATGGAATGTCTTTGCAGTCGGATAAGTGTGGGTTTAAATCTTGATTTAGCCACTTAGTAACTTTTGACCTTAAGAAAGTTAACCTTTCTAAGCTACTTTCCTTATCTATAAAATTTAACAATTTTATGTGCATACACATGTGTACATACACACCTTTTTGTGACAGTAAAATGAGGTAATGTTTAGTAAACTATAGTAGTACTTAATATTGGGGATTGCTACATGAAAACAAAAACCAAGGTAACAGTATTTTAAACAAAAGTTGAAGTTTATTTTTCTCGTATATAAAAGAAGTCCAGGAGTATGTAGTCCAGGGCTGGTATGATAGTTTCATGTTCATCTGGGACCCAGGCTTTCTATATCTTCCTTTTCTATCATTCTAGTGTATGATTTCTACATAAAAGTTGAGGTTACCACATAGTCCAAGGTGGCTGCTGGAAGCTCCAGCCATCATAGCTGCATTCCAGATAGCAAAAGGAGGAAGGAAGAAAGGGTCTATTTCCAGTGCAGTCAGCTTTCTTTAAAAAGCTGCCTAAAACTAGCCTTCTAGGAAGTCTCTCACAACCCTTCTGCTTATAGTCTCATTGTCCAGACACCTAGTCATATGACTGCAACTTGTTAGAAGAAGGCTTCAAAGTTTAATCTCTTAGTTGGGTACATTGCTGCACAAAATAAAATTAGTGTTCTGTTACTAAGGAAGGAGATAAGAATACTGGGTGTCTACAGCAGACTCAGCCATAGTTACCTGTTGTGGTGCCAGGCAAATGGTGAGGTTTAACAAATATCTTATGCCTCCCTTCTTTCTGTTCTATTTAGAGTCAGCTTAGTGCTTTATTCTTCTTTGCTTCATGTGTATCTTATTTTTTCCAGCTATGTTGAAAGTTTCTTGGGGGGGATAAGGACCATGTATCATACTTCTTTGTTGTTTTTCAAAACACCTAGCAGAGTACTTGGCACTTGGACTACTTAGTAAGAACTTAGTATGTATTTGTTAATTAATTGATTTTACTTTCTACTAGGACCATACTTCTTTTAGCCTCTTGTTGGATTTTCCCCACCTCATGGGTATTTAATACTTTTCCCTCAGCTACAAGCTAGCAGCTCTCATGAGAGGAATGTACTGGAGATTTTCATTCCTTGATAATTTCCTGTTTTCTAATGCCTTAAAAGTTACCCCGTGGACCTGATGATCTAAATTTTATCTTTCTTTGATTAATGTATTTTAATGGTGGTTTTTTCCTATACCTGGTGCTTTGGGATACATATGTATTTCTAATATATCTGTTCATTATGAATATATAGAATATGATTTTTGTTTCTTTTTCTTTTTTGTGGTATGCGGGCCTCTCACTGCTGTGGCCTCTCCCGTTGCGGAGCACAGGCTCTGGATGCGCAGGCTCAGCGGCCATGGCTCACGGGCCCAGCCGCTCCGCGGCATGTGGGATCTTCCCGGACCGGGGCACGAACCCGTGTCCCCCGCATCGGCAGGCGGACTCTCAACCACTGTGCCACCAGGGAAGCCCAGAATATGATTTTGAAAAGTGCCATGTTTGGAAAGGCCTCAGGAAATTATTTTTCTCTGCATATTTAACTCACTGATTTGTTTGTAAGAAAGCTGAATAGTTTGAAAAGAAAGCTTAGGTTAAAGTTGTCAAGTTGTTTTGAGCTCCTGGTTATTTTTCTTTTTCTCCCCAATTATGGGTGAGAAGAGAGAAATAACTAACTGGAGATAGGAAACTCTCTACGAGGAGATAAAGAAATAGTAGTATTACTGGAACTGTCTTTCTAGCTGCTTGGGTCAGACTTTATATAAAAATAGGATCTTATAGTATCAGAGTATCTTGTGATACAAGAGATTATATGAGTTCTTTTTATTCTACTCTGGAACTTACTAAATGGAATATTCTAACTAAACATACTACACAGGAATATATTACATCATTAGTATAATAATATGCAAATACAATACAATTTCTTTCATACCCTATCACCAATATGCAAATATATTCATACACTCAAAGATGTATATGTCTTATATAAATACGTACACAAATGTAAGAGATAAAGATATGCTGCTACAAATTCTTCTTGGAATAAAGTGAGGTGTAAATAGATAAAATAAAAAGTTATACATTATCCAGTTATGTATGCTCGAAAAGAGTAGGTAGGTAGACGTACATGAGTGGTTATGTGATGTTTAGGTAGAATATTAAGTGGGTGGGAAAGAGGGGCCTCATCAGCAAAGTAACCACACAGTGTTAATGAGAATGAGAATTCGTGTTAACTAAAAGTCATAACAACTTTATGGTACTTTTTAATGATGCTTTTGGACTGGTATACAAATGACATAGAGCTGTTTATAAAGAGTTGATATTTCCTTATAGTTTGACTTTATTTGGTTTTGTTCTCATAGATGTTTTCTCCCAGATGTCAGATTCCAATGGCTTAATGATATTTAGCAAGTTTGACCAGTTTCTGAAGGAAGTTCTGAAGCTCCCAACAGCTGTCTTTGAAGGGCCATCTTTTGGTTACACAGAGCACTCAGTCCGCACCTGTTTTCCACAGCAGGTAAGGATGGGTTTATAGAATCTAGGATTAGAAGAGCTCTCATCCACCCCTCCACCTTTTGTCAGATTTCGCCAGATTGCTTCACTCTAGGAATATAGGTCTTGAGTAGGGGAGGGAAAATAACTTTTAAGTCAGAGGAGAGGATGTAGAAGAGAGGGGGGTTAAAAATTCACCTGAGAACTCTTTTCTTGGAAGAGGGGAGGGAAGTCTTTTCTGAAAAAATGATAACAGTTGAAATATTTTAAATTACTAAAAATTTCAAGAAAAATGTTTAAGGTATTTATCTTATTGCTGCTAGACATATATTACTCTCCCTAATGAGGTTTTTTTTTAATAATCTTTTTTTTTTTTTTTTTTTTGCGGCACGCGGGCCCCTCACTGCTGTGGCCTCTCTCGTTGCGGAGCACAGGCTCCGGATGCGCAGGCTCAGCGGCCATGGCTCATGGGCCCAGCTGCTCCGCGGCATGTGGGATCCTCCTGAACCGGGGCACGAACCCGTGTCCCCTACATCAGCAGGCGGACTCTCAACCAGTGCGCCACTAGGGAACCCCGGATTGTTGGAAGATTTTTAATCACAGTTTCAATTTCAGTGCTTGTGATTGGTCTGTTTATATTTTCTGTTTCTTCCTGGTTCAGTCTTGGAAGATTGTGCTTTTCTAAGAATATGTCCATTTCTTCCAGGTTGTCCATTTTATTGGCATAGAGTTGCTTGTAGTAATCTCTCATGATCCTTTGTATTTCTGCAGTGTCAGTTATTACTTCTCCTTTTTCATTTCTAATTCTGTTGATTTGAGTCTTCTCTCTTTTTTCTTGATGAGTCTGGCTAATGGTTTATCCATTTTGTTTATCTTCTCAAAGAGCCAGCTTTTAGTTTTATTGATCTTTGCTATCGTTTCCTTCATTTATTTCTGCTCTGATCTTTATGATTTCTTTCCTCCGGCTAACTTTGGGAGTTTTTGTTCTTCTTTCTCTAATTGCTTTAGATGTAAGGTTAGGTTGTTTATTTGAGATTTTTCTTGTTTCTTGAGGTAGGATTGTATTGCTATAAACTTCCCTCTTAGAACTGCTTTTGCTGCATCCCATAGGTTTTGGGTTGTCATGTTTTCATTGTCATTTGTTTCTAGGTATTTTCTGATTTCCTCTTTGATTTCTTCGGGGATCTCTTGGTTATTTAGTAGTGTATTGTTTAGCCTTCATGTGTTTGTATCTTTTACAGGTTTTTTCCTGTAATTGATATCTAGTCTCATAGCATCGTGGTTGGAAAAGATACTTGATACAATTTCAATTTTCTTAAATTTACCAAGGCTTGATTTGTGACCCAAGATGTGATCTATCCTGGAGAATGTTCCATGAGCACTTGTGAAGAAAGTGTATTTTGTTTGGATGGAATGTCCTATAAGTATCAATTAAGTCCATCTTGTTTAATGTATAATTTCAAGCTTGTGTTTCCTTATTTATTTTCATTTTGGATGATCTGTCCATTGGTGAAAGTGGGGTGGTAAAGTCCCCTACTATGATTGTGTTACTATCGATTTCCCCTTTTATGGCTGTTTCCATTTGCCTTATGTATTGAGGTGCTCCTATGTTGGGTGCATAAATATTTACAATTCTTATGTCTTCTTCTTGGATTGATCCCTTGATCATTATGTAGTGTCCTGCTTTGTCTCTTGTAATAGTCTTTATTTTAAAGTCTATTTTGTCTGATATGAGAATTGCTACTCCAGCTTTCTTTTGATTTCCATTTGCATGGAATATCTTTTTCCATCCTTCACTTTCAGTCTGTATGTGTCCCTAGGTCTGAAGTGGGTCTCTTGTAGGAGCATATGTATGGGTCTTGTTTTTGTATCCATTCAGCCAGTGTGTGTCTTTTGGTTGGAGCATTTAATCCACTTACATTTAAGGTAATTATCGATATGTATGTTCCTGTTACCATTTTCTTAATTGTTTTAGGTTTCTGTTTGTAGGTCTTTTCCTTCTCTTGGTTTCCTGCCCAGAGAAGTTCCTTTAGCATTTGTTGTAAAGCTTGTCTGGTGGTGCTGAATTTTCTTAGCTTTTGCTGGTCTGTAAAGGTTTTAATTTCTCCATCGAATCTGATTGAGATCCTTGCTGGGTAGAGTAATCTTGGTTGTAGGTTTTTCCTTTTCATCACTTTAAATATATCCTGCCACTGCCTTCTGGCTTGGAGAGTTTCTGGTGAAAGATCAGCTGTTAACCTTATGGGGGTTCCCTTGTGTGTTATTTGTTGCTCTCGCTTGCTGCTTTTAATTTTTTTTCTGTGTATTTAATTCTTGATAGTTTGATTAATATGTGTCTTGGCGTGTTTCTCCTTGGATTTATCCTGTATGGGACTCTCTGTGCTTCCTGGACTTGACTGACTATTTCTTTTCCCATATTAGGGAAGTTTTCAACTACAATCTCTTCAAATATTTTCTCAGTCCCTTTCTTTTTCTCTTCTTCTTCTGGGACCCATGTAATTCGAATGTTGGTTCATTTAATGTTGTCCCAGAGGTCTCTGAGACTGTCCTCAATTCTTTTCATTCTTTTTTCTTTATCCTGCTCTACGGTAGTTATTTCCACTATTTTATCTTCCAGGTCACTTGTCCGTTCTTCTGCTTCAGTTATTCTGCTATTGATTGCTTCTAGAGAATTTTTAGCTTCATTTATTGTGTTGTTCATCATTGTTTGTTTGCTCACTCTTTAGTTCTTCTAGGTACTTGTTAAACGTTTCTTGTATTTTCTCTGTTTCCAAGATTTTGGGTCATCTTTACTATCATTACTCTGAATTCTTTTTCAGGTAGACTGCCTATTTCCTCTTCATTTGTTTCATCTGGTGGACTTTTACTTTGCTCCTTCGTCTGCTGCATATTTTTCTGTCTTCTCATTTTGCTTAGTTTACCGTGTTTGGGGTCTCCTTTTCACAGGCTGCAGGTTCGTAGTTCCTGTTATTTTTGGTGTCTGCCCCCAGTGGGTAAGGTTGGTGCAGTGGGTTGTGTAGGCTTCCTGGTGGAGGGGACTGGTGCCTGTGTTCTGGTAGATGAACCTGGATCTTGTCTTTCTGGTGGGCAGGACTGTGTCCAGTGGTGTGTTTTGGGGTGCCTGTGTACCTATTACGATTTTAGGCAGCCTCTCTCCTAATGGGTGTGATTGTGTTCCTGTCTTGCTAGTTGTTTGGCATAGGGTATCCAGCACTGTAGCTTGCTGGTCATTGTGTGGAGCTGGGTCTTAGTGTTGAGACGGAGATACGTGGGAGAGCTCTCGCTGATAGATATTACGTGCAGCCAGGAGGTCTGTGGTGGTCCAATGTCCTGAACTCGGCCTTCTCACCTCAGAGGCTCAGGCCTGACAGCCAGCCGGAGCACCAAGACCCTATCAGCCACACGGCCAGGTGCATGGGGAGTTTCTTGCCTTTTGGGAAGTCTGAGGTCTTCTGCCAGTGTTCAGTAGGTGTTCTGTAGGAGTTGTTCCACGTGTAGATGTTTTTTGTTTTGTTTTTTTTTTTTGTGGTACGCAGGCCTCTCACTGTTGTGGCCTCTCCCGTTGCGGAGCACAGCCTCCGGACACGCAGGCTCAGTGGCCATGGCTCACGGGCCCAGCCACTCCGCAGCATGTGGGATCTTCCCAGACCGGGGCACGAACCCGTGTCCCCTGCATCGGCAGGCGCACTCTCAACAACTGTGCCACCAGGGAAGCCCTGTAGATGTATTTTTGATGTACATGTGGGGAGGAAGGTGATCTCCACGTCTTACTCCTCTGCCATCTTGAAGGTCCTCCCCATTATTCCTTTTAATCATAAGCAAATTTGAGTTTAAGTCATCATTTTAAAAAACCGCCCTGTTGATGTCCCTAGTTTGCTTTGAAAAAACCTTACTAACTCCTCACTGCCTCCTGGATAATGTAGTTAGCCAGACAAGGTGTTGCTTATCGATCCGACCCCTGCCTCTCTTTCACCTTCATTCCTGATCCCTCCTACCCCCACAGACCCCATCCCTCAGGATGCCATGGATTCTTTTTAGATATTGCCCCAGTGCCACAGGGGTTGTACCATTTACACTCCCACCAGCAGCGTGTAAGTCCATCTTTTTCTCCACAGCCTTGCCAACAGCACATGTTCTTACATTTAGGAATTTCTGCCAATCTGAGAGATGAGAAGTGTTATCTCAGCATAGTTTTGATTTGCATTTCTCTTGTTTTGAGTAGGTGAAAGTGGTATACTTCTCTTCTTTGTTTATGCTGTTAGCTCTCACTGAAATGCCAGTAACCCCGACGTTCTTTCTCTCCTCCAACAAAGGCCTCATATTTCAAGTCACAGCTAAATATCTCCTTGTCTTTGTTGCTCTGAATCTTTTGATGTAGGATTAATTGTTTCCTCTTCTACAGGCCCTGGCCTGTTACATCTAGCTCACTAATGCCCTGAGGGATGCACCTTGGTCTCCTTCAAATTTAAATCCCCATTACTAACAGTGTCTGGAAAATCATCAGTGCTTACTAGGTAGTTTGATTGAGTAGTGGTTTTAAATCTATTATGGCATGAGAAAGTATCTGGGCTTGAATTCTTACTGCAAGCTTAAAGCTCATGGATGTGATTGCAGCCTTGTTGTTTTCACTGATATTATTCCATAATTTTCTCAAATGAGACAATCTTTGCAATGAGGAAAATACCGAATTTCAGAATTTTTGAAGACTTTTTCCATTCTTTTTTAAAAAAAGCTATAATAAATACAAGTATCTCGATAAAAAGCACAGCAACACTATATTGTTGTGTCATTACAAAGTACTCTAATTTTCAAAGTCCAGAATAAATCTGTGATATGATTCAGTATCTTATAATAACTGAAAGGCTGACCCATAGCACTGGTCCTGTAACCAGTTGATGTGTGTTTGCTCTTGTCAGACAAAGTATTTCTATAACTTTACACAAAAACTTTGTATAAAAACATTTTAATCTGAAAGATTTAAAAAATGCTGTTTTTAAGTCTTTTAGCTAAATGTCATACATTGTTTAACTGATTACCAAGTAAGTGGTAGGGCAATGGATAAGAAATATTTCCCTGTTGCCCATAAGAAAATAGGAGTTTTGTTTTGTTGTTTTTGTTGTTGTTGTTTTTGGCTGCACTGGGTCTTTGTTGCTGTGCACGGGCTTTCTCTAGTTGTGGCGAGTGGGGGCTACTCTTTGTTGTGGTGTGCGGGCTTCTCATTGCGGTGGCTTCTCTTGTTGCAGAGCACGGGCTCTAGGCGCCCAGGCTTCAGTAGTTGCAGCACACAGGCTCAATATTTGTGGCACGTGGGCCCTAGAACGTGTGAGCTTCAGTAGTTGCGACACGTGGGGTCAGTAGTTGTGACACACGGGCTTAGTTGCTCCGCGGCATGTGGGATCTTCCCGCACCAGGGATTGAACTCATGTCCCCTCCATTGGCAGGTGGATTCTTAACCACTGCACCACCAGGGAAGTCCCAGAAAATAGGAGTTTTTAATGGAAAAGATGAGATTGGAAATTGCAGCTATGATGACCTAATGCTAAATTATTTTACTTGTTTTCTCACGTTATTTTAGTGATACTGGATTTCTCACTTTTAAGAGATGATTTCTCCCCTCTTTTAAAACAGGAAAGTTGTAGCCAAGAGTGGAGGGAGGGAAGTCAAATGGCATCTAGACTAATAATTGTCAGTATTGATGATTAGAATAACAAAGTGTGGGGAAGTAGACAGGAAACAGAAACACTGGTTTCTAAGAAAAATATGAGAGTGCATACAAAGATAAAAACAGGCTCAGTGTTTTATTGAGGAAAGCATAAATAAATCATGGTGTTTTTGCTCAGTGGATGAGGCAGCTGTTAAAATGATTAGAAAAGAAGACCTTGTAGCAAAACAATAAAGTATTTAATAAAACATTAAGTGGGGGATTCCCTGGTGGCACAGTGGTTGGGAATCTGCCTGCCAATGCAGGGGACACGGGTTCAAGCCCTGGTTTGGGAAGATCCCACATGCCGCGAAGCAGCTAAGCCTGGGCGCCACAACTACTGAGCCTGTGCTTCAGAGCTCATGTGCCTCGACTTCTGAAGCCCACACGCCTAGAGCCTGTGCTCTGCAACAGGAGAAGCCACCGCTATGAGAACCCCGTGCATGGCAACAAAGAGTGGCCCCCACTCGCCACAACTAGAGGGAGCCCCTGCGCAGCAACAAAGACCCAACTCAGCCAGAACTAACTAACAAAATAAATAAATATATTAAAAAAAGAAAAAATATTAAGTGGAAAGACAGAGTATATATTTTTATATACCCTATGTACATAATTATATAGAAACATGCATTTGGAGGGAAATACAGAAAAATGAGAAGCAAGAATGTTCATTACTTGCAGTTTTATTATAGTTTTTGTTTTAAATATTCTGTTGTAAAAAATAAAGAGAAATGCAAAGAATATGTTCAACTCAGGAGCAAAACCAAAATAAAACAAAACAAAAGGTAGAAGAAAAGAGTGAAAGAGCCTGTCTTTCACATAGTTATTTACTGAGTCACGGAATTTTAGAGCTGGGAATTCTGTCCCATAAGTTCTCAAACTTTCTGGTATCAGGACCTTTTTACACCCCTGAAAATATTTGAGCACCCCAGAGAGCTTTTGTTTATATGAGTTATATCTGTCAGTATTTCCATATTAGAAATCAAAACTGATAAATTATAAAATATTAAATCATTTAAAAAGAACAATGATAAACCAATTACACATTAACATAAATAATATATTTTATGAAAAGTAGATATTCCAAAGCAAAAAAATTTAATGAGAAGAATGCCATTGTTTTATATTTTTTGCAAATTTCTTTAATATTTGGCTCAGTTGAAGACAGCTGGGTTTTCATATCTGCTTATCCATTCAGTCTGTTGTGATATGTTGTTTTGGTTAAAGTATGGAAAGAAAATCTGGTCTCAGACAGCTGTGTAGTTGGAAAAGGGAGGAATATTTTAAAAGCTTTTGCAGATAATTGTGGATATGCCATGTTGCCTCTGGAACATTCCACTGTACAGTCGTGAGAGAATCAGATTGAAAAAAGCAAATGATGTCTTAGTATTATTATGAAAATAGTTTTGACCTCATGGACTCCTTGGAAATGTTTTAGGAACCTTGCAGGGGGACCTCTGACCATACTTCGAGAACCACTGCTCTAGCCCTTGAGAGATAAGAAAACTGAAACCAGAATGTTAGGTGATTTCCCCCCAATCACGTAGTTAATGGAAGACAGAGCACTGGGACACAGTTCTTCTGGTTTCATTCCTCATGCTTTTGGAGGACTTAAATTATAGTATGACTTAGGACAACTTTTGGAAACTGATCCTGAGTGTACTTATGAGGGAGTTCTGAGATATCAAGTATAATTCCTTTTCATCTTGAAGATTTAAGAAACCACACAAAACTCCATGATAGGTGAATCAAAAGTTTTAGGGAAAGTAGCATTAGGATTATAAGTGGATTTGTAAAAGTGTAATTTTTAACAAATATAAGATGATACAGAAACATTAATTTAAACATTACATTTATGATAAGTGATATAATTACAAAGGTATATTAACCACCTCTGACTAGCTAAAGACTTCCTAGCATCTTCTTTCTCAATTTTAAGTAGACACTTGTAATTTCATTTTCGTTTATTGCAGTTATTTGCATATCCATTATAAGAGGCATTTTCCATGTCTGAACCTCCATTCAAATGCTGGGTGACTTTCTGTTTTTATTTTTAACGTTGCTCACGCATTCCTCCCAGATTCCTCTGAAATCTCGGAAACATTAGTAACTTTGATGCCTGAGATGGAAAACACTTTGGAAAACTATTTAGCCTATTCGAGTAGGCATTTCTCAAACTACACCGTCAATGCATAGCTATGTATAAGGGCCTTTGGATGGTAACTTCCTACTGTTATCACCCTCATTTAGCCCTCTTACATATATGTGAGAACCTTTCCCTCTCTCCATTCAGTGCTGACGTGCAGTCTCTGTCCTGGATATGAGACTTTCCTTCAGAATTCTTCAGAAATAGTCATTTGAAAGACACCTGAGTTGTAGTCCTGATTTTGGTAGGACCTTTACAAATCATTTAAATGTGTCATTCCTTTATTATCTCATCTGTAAAATGAAGATAGTAATACCTAGCCTATTTATCTTTTTTTCATTTCGTATGTTTTATTGAAATATAGTTAACTTACAATATTAGTTTCAGGTGTACAACGTAGTAATTCCATCCTAGCCTATTTGTCTTATACAGTTGTTTTAAGACTCAAATAAAATAATGTAAGTGGAAATGCATTTGAATATAGCAGTAGTATATAGGATAGTGTGTAGCAGTGTCTGTAGTAATGCAAAATATTATTTATTTTGCTATAAAGTTTCCCATGTAATTCATTACAACTTGGTTGGGAGAATCCTAAGTTAACTTAATCTTAGAGTTCAGAGATATTTGAAAAATATGAAGTGTATTTGTTTTTTTTTTCTCTTCACAGAAAAAGATAATGCTAAATACGTTTTTAGACACCATGATGGCCGACCCTCCTCCCCAGTGCCTTGTCTGGCTACCTCTCATGCATAGGCTTGCCCACGTTGAGAATGGTAAGGAGAACTTTTATCATTCAGTTCCCTGTGCTATAGGAAGTATATGAACTGACAGTATTTGTAATGTCCTTAGTTATTATCATTGAAAATTACAGTTGACATTTGCTGGCACTCCATCATTTGAATTTGTGGTTTTAGCTTCCAAAAGAGTAATATTTATTTCTCAAAAAAAAAAAAAAAAAGGGAGGGAGGACTTATTACTTAGATAGGATACCAAGAGGTAGTAATATCAGGTCAGAAAACTTTGTGGTTCAAACTCCAGGCTTTTCCCCCAAGATTCCAGATGGTTGTTTTCTGCTTAAACCCACCTGACTTAGCCATGACTTCCTTGTTTTCCTTTAGTTTATAAAAAGCATAACTCCAAAAAATTGTATATATTCAATATCAGCCACTAAAACTATAAAATATTGGAATAGTTTAGAGGAAAATAGCCAAGATAGAATTTGGTACTGGGTTTCACCCATATTCAGTTTTTTCCTTTACCGCTGAATTACTCTCAGTATCCTTCCCAAGTAGTTTGACTTAAATCTTTGTTTCACTTGAAATTGAAATGGTACTTATCTCTCAGTAACTACTTAGGTTTTTCTGCTATTGCTATCAGTTTATCTCCTTGTTTAGGTTGTTTGAATTCATTAAAGGAAAGGTCCTAGCTTTTCTCTGGAAGCTCCCTTCTTTCAAGGCTCTTCTTGCCTGTCTCTCCTCATTGCACAAAAGAGAAAGAGTGATAGCTGAGCGGCACTAAAAAGCAGAGTCCTCTTTTTTCATTTTGTAAGAATGAGAGAACGCTACCGTACTCTTTTTATTTTCTCTCCCTCCTACTCATATCTTTTTTTTTTTTTAAACTTCTCAGGCTTTCACTCAGTCATGGCTTTAGTTCACAAGTCCTTAGATTCAAGATTATTTTCCTAAAGTCCTGGAATCTCTTGAGTAGACTAAAACAGCTAAATTTTTTTTTTTTTTTTTTTTTTTTTTTTTTGGCGGTACGTGGGCCTCCCACTGCTGTGGCTTCTCCCGCTGCGGAGCGCAGGCCCGGAACGCGCGCATGCCCAGCGGCCATGGCTCACGGGCCCAGCCGCTCTGCGGCACGTGGGATCCGCCCGGACCGGGGCACGAACCCATGTCCCCTGCATTGGCAGGCGGACTCTCAACCACTGTGCCACCAGGGAGGCCCAAACAGCTAAATTTTTAAACAGGATTTTTGGATAGAGATTTATGCTGTTAAATTATTACAGTGTTGGTTCTTTTGAGGGACAATACCTTTATAGCACTAAATGTTTTCATAGTTTCATATCCAGCTCATTTTCATAAAATCATTTTATATCTGCTATCCCAAGTAGAGAGGATCTCATTTGTCTAGATCTAGTGTTATCCATATGAACATTTTGTTGTGACTTTGTATGTAGTATATTATTTATAAATTACATTCTTATGTGATTAACACTTTCATTATTCCTTAGAAATATTTTGATAACAAAAATTTAAATTTCTTAGAGGAGGTATGTCCTTTGGATTTCTCATTCCAGATTTTAGTTTTCTGTTATTCTTTAGTGATCTTGTTGTATTATTTTTCTCACCTAGTGCTCAGGTTTTGTTGTTGTTGTTTGTTTGTTTTGAGACTTGATTCTCTAGTTAATATGCATTTTTGGAAGTAGGACTAAAAAGCCTTATAATTGAGACAACACTGCCTTTGTATACACAGTGCTAGAAAGAGTTGTTCAAATGAAGCTTTGAATATTATATCCCTCTTTCCTTTGACTTCCATTTCTTGTGTTCAGAATTGAATTGCCAGAGGGAACAATCGTGCTATCAACATTTAAAAGTATAAATAACAGGGCTTCCCTGGTGGCGCAGTGGTTGAGAGTCTGCCTGCCGATGCAGGGGACATGGGTTCGTGCCCAGGTCCAGGAAGATCCCACGTGCCGCGGAGCGGCTGGGCCCGTGAGCCATGGCTGCTGAGCCTGCGCGTCCCGAGCCTGTGCTCCGCAACAGGAAAAGGCACAGCAGTGAGAGGCCCGTGTACCAAAAAAAAAAAAGTATAAGTAACAATCTGTAATATGCAGTTGTGCATTCATTGCCCACTTCCACTGAGTAAACTGGACTTTCAGGCTATAAGAGAATCTCAGTAACCCCTATAAATCCTGACTGCCGGCTGGCAGGTTTTCCTGAGGTAAGATGCTGTGTGAGGTGGAGAAAGGAGTCTCAGGTCACCTGAGTTTCCTTCTCTCCAAATCACTGCCCCTTCATTGGTTAGAGTACCTTATTTGATGCCAATACTTGGAGCTCTTACCTAAAACTAGTATTTTGATATGGTAGCCTTACTTTTTTACCAGTTACCATTTGCACCCAGGGATATAGTAGTATTTATTTATTTATTTGTTTACTGGCTGTGCCGTGTGTCATGTGGGATCTTAGTTCCCCAGCCAGGGATCGAACCAGTGCCCCCTGCATTGGAAGCTCGGAGTCTTAAACACTGGACTTCCAGGGAAGTCCCTGTAGTATGTAGTTCAGCAAACATTGGGAGGCCTTCAATCCAAAGGACTGTGTGAAATACCACTTGCAGGTAGCAGAGACATAAAGCATGGCGTACTGGCTCTCACAGATTTTATGTTAGTGAAGGAAACATATGTCCACAACTAACAATATACATCTCTTAAAAAAAATAGGTTTGGAAGAGAAATTTTGGAATGAGGGTGTCTTTCCTCCTTACTGGTTTGTTTACCTAAACTTTGAGACACAAATGTCATTTTAAAGAAGGCAGTTGGTTGTTTTCTAAGGTGGATTGTAATCTATTCTAAATGGAAAATTTTGTTATTTTCTTTTTATTCCAGTGAATGGCTGGTTAGATTAACTAAATTGAAGACAATTTAGATTCTTCACTTCTAGTTTTGTTTTCACCTTTGCTTTTATGTTAAATTTGGTTTTCCGCTGTACTGACTTTATTCTCCAAATGAAAATGACTTCTTTCTCCCTCTGGTCCCCTCTCCTCCCCGCCCTCATCCCTCAAGTCTTCCACCCCGTGGAGTGCTCCTATTGCCGGTGTGAGAGTATGATGGGTTTCCGGTACCGATGCCAGCAGTGCCACAACTACCAGCTCTGCCAGAATTGCTTTTGGCGTGGCCATGCCAATGGCCCTCACAGCAACCAGCACCAGATGAAGGAGCATTCCTCTTGGGTAACTGCTTTGTGTCTCAGTCTGTGTCCCCAGCAGTTATCTGTTTCATCCGTAACAGCACCAGGGCCACTTTTCTGATAGATGCCTATCAAATAAGGATGTGGTGTCATAAAATATTAACCCTTACATTTATGATGGGGCTTGCAGATATGTTGTGCTTCATCACTTGATTTGAAAAGGAGAGTTTTTAAAGTTCTAGGAGATGGAGATATTATGACCTTTGACGTGGTCCCTTTTATTCAGTAAAATGGAATGTTGCAGTGCTCCCTTTCCCAGTGAAAAGTGTCTTCTTTTTTTTTTTTTATTAATTAATATTTATTTTTGGCTATGCTGGGTCTTTGTTTTTGTGCGTGGGCTTTCTCCAGTTGCGGCGAGCGGGGGCCGCTCCTCATCGCGGTGCGCGGGCCTCTCACTGTCGCGGCCTCTCTTGTTGCGGAGCACAAGCTCCAGACACGCAGGCTCAGTAGTTGTGGCTCACGGGCCTAGTTGCTCCGCGGCATGTGAGATCCTCCCAGACCAGGGCTCGAACCTGTGTTCCCTGCATTGGCAGGCAGATTCTCAACCACTGCGCCACCAGGGAAGCCCGAAAAATGTCTTCTTTTAAAATTGTACAAGGGGGTACCACCCCCACCCCAGAAGACTTACTCTCTGAACTTTAAGGAAGATTTAAAGCTCTTTTTTTCAACAAACTTTATTCATGCTTATAGGGTTTAAATGTTGCAGAGAAAGCTGCATGAGATGAGGGAGTTAAATTTTTACCTCTCTAAAGTTGGGTAGATACTATATTTTACAATTGCCACACTGATGTCTTTACTTTCAAAAGCAATCTTTTAAATAACAGTATTTGGGTAGAGGTCAATGTCTGATTTTTCTGTGGTGTTTATAAATCATGTAACAAGTTTAGCATCAATCATTTTTTCTTCCCTTCTCTCAGTTTATTTCCAGAGTTTAAAAAATGTCATATTTTTATTTCCTAAATCGCTATAGCCTTGCTTTAAATCCTTTTCCTCTAGCTTTTGTTTGTTTGGTTGGTTTGCTAAAAGGTAGAAAAATATATAGGGTCATAAGTATAATTCAGGATCTAGGTTCTTAAGCCCGGTCATCCTACTAGACTTTAAGTATTAGAAAGCTTCAATAAGCAGGGTTTTTTTTCTATTTTCTTTTTTTTTCCTAGTTAACCGTCTTAAAACTCAACCAAGAGAAAAGCAAATAAGTTTATATCAGGGATTAGTTAAAAACAAGAAACAAACTTTAATCAAGTATATACTTCCTACATCTCTGATAATGTGTTAGAGATAATTTTTTATTAGATGGCTTTTCAGTGACAGCTAACCCATAAAATTTTGTTAAACTGAACCTCCTATCCTGGGTCTTATGTTGTAGATTCCAATATTTCTTTTGGTTGAGGAGTCATTATTTTAAATTTTTTAAACAAGCAAAGGGAAAACAAAAAATAAAACCCAGTAGTTTATTCTCTTTTTCATTGACTAGAGAGAATTTATAGATTTTCAAATTGTTACTTTTTCTTCTTCTTAAAGTACAAGTATCCCGCTGTGTTAAATGACTTATTAATATTTTTCAACTGTTTTTTGTTTAGAGTCTAACTCTTTACACTGAGAAAGCTCTTTGCCTTATTACCTTTCATAATGATTGGATTCTCTGGAATGTATCTACTGAAAGTTCTCTTTCTAGATGTTGGGGCTAGGAGGATGAGGAACTTCTTTTTCACCTTAGTTTGAACTTGCTCATTTAGCTAATTTAAAACCCTTATAGAAATGGGAATTTTATATTTATTTAAAGATAAGTGACTGTTTGAATATTGCTTTATGATTTACAAAGCAGTTTTTCATATACTCTGTTGATCTATAACATACATAAAGGAAAGTACAGAAATCACAAGTGAATTCTTATCTTTCTGTTTGATCTTCACAGCACTCTTGTGAAGTAAGTCTTATCGCCATTTATTGTTATTTTTATTTCAGCTTTGTTTTTTTTTCTAGTTTATTAATTTATTTTTGTTATAGTGACTGAAGAGTTAAGGAAAAATCAAGTATTATCAGCATGCATAATTTTGAAGCTGGTATCATAAATGTATTAGTTCTGAATTTTGATGAATATTTGCATTATGATGGTAGATGCATATTGGTAAGGTCTTTTACGTGTCTGTGTGTGACTTGTTTTTAAGACTAGGACTCTGTGTGCAGTGCCCTTGTTCTTTGAGGAAGAGATGGATGAATTTTGAGGCTGTTGTGGGTAAAGAAATTTCCACCTAACAAAAAAATGTGTAATCAGTTTAATAGTAATGTCTTTGAAGTTTGTCCACTGTGTTTGTACTAAAATTTTGAATGAATGTTTCTCTGTGTTCACAACAGATGAATTTAGTGCGCATTTAACCAGTTTGTATATGAATTTGCATTGTAGACTTGATATGTGTAGTGTTGGTGCTTGGAAATTTATTTTGCTTTTTCTAAAAGTTCTGTTTAATGTTTTATCTAAGTAACTATGCAGTATAATTCACCATTCTTTTATTCATCAATCCATTCATTTGTCTTTATTATAGAAAAGAATGCCATATGGTACCATACCTGTAATTCATTCTGTCCATTCATTATTCAAAAGATATTTTTTGAGCACCTGCTGTGTCCCAGGCACTGTAAGAGGCTTGTGAGATACATCTATGAACAAACTAGACAAACATTCCTGCCTTGGTGGAGTTAGATTTTAAGGGTGTTAAAGAGACCACTAGGGCTCATCGGCATCGCTGTTTTCCTGTTCTTGCTGGGCACGCATCTAGACTACATTTCTCAGCCCCGCTGTATCCAAAAGGACCACGTGAATAGCTGTTACCAGTGGAATGTGATCAGAGTGATATATCTCTTCCCAGAACAAGACAGTTAATAACTGGGTGCCTTTTCTATCCTCTCTGGCAGCTTAGTGGAGAGAATTTCATTAGGACCCAGAGAGGGTGAAACCATAAAATGAAAGGAAACTGGGTCCTTGAACAATGGGTGGAGAGGAATATCCTGACAACCTGTGTGACTCTGATGGAAGCAAGGGCGAAGCTCTGTGTTAAGCTACTGAGGTTTTAGTTTTTGCTACAGTGGTTGGAACTGGAAGTGGAATTCTGTTAAAACAGAACCTTAACATTTGTTTCGTTGGCTTAGCAGTCAGGCAGCACCCTGATGAGGACACTGATACTGGAGTTGGGAAAGACAGAAACCCAAGTTCTGCAGTGGTGACCAATTTAGTAAATTTGTCATCGATGATAACTTGGAAGACTTGCTTCATGCCAAGCGAACTCTAGGTCAGATGTTGGAAAAGGTCAGAGTGTGTGTTGACTCTTATTGGTAAGGTATTACATGAAAGAGATGAGCTTAGGAAAGAATTGGCTAGCTTTCCAGCAAAAAATGAAAGGGAATAGAGAAAGCTCTGAGAGTTGGGGCAGTGAAAGGAAAAACAGACTATTTCTAGAGAGCAAGAGATAAGAGTTGAGAGAGGTTTTGAGCCTCAAAGACCTAGTAAGTGTTCTCAGTTGAAAAAAAAAAGTGACAGTCCTGTGGCAAAGATCAGATGAAGTGTAGTTCTTACTGGCTGCTCATCAGAATCATCTTGCTCCCACCTTCATAGCTTCTGATTTAATGGGTCCAGGGCACATGAAACCCGGACACAGGCAGTTTTTGAAAGTTCTGTTCTACAGCCAAGATTCTGTTTTGCAGCCAGAGTTGGAAACTGCTGACCTATTGTTTCATGTGGCCTCCAGGTGGCTTCTGTTAGTTGAAAGCAAGAGGAATGGAGGCATGTCTGGGGAAGAACTTTGTGTGTGGTTACTGGCACATGGAACCGACTGGAAACAAATAGATCAAAGGCCTGCTAAGTTTTTGACGGAATTCTGTTGGCAATGGAACCATGAGCCTGACTATTACAGCTATAAAATCACTTTTTAAGGACCCAGAACTTGCCCTGGAAAGAGGTGGGTTATGAAGGTTTTACGGCCCCTCAGGAGGGTGTACCAGAGCCCACATGGCCAAGGAGAATATTTGATAAGGAAGAACCTTCTCCTCCCACTCTTGTATATTGGGACTGGGGAGAGCAGGTGCAAATAACATGCCTTTTAAGTTCATAGGTTGTGTCTTAAGGAGCTGCACGTGGTCTTGATGAAGGAAACTGGCAGAGCCAGAGGTCCTGCACTTGTGGTTAGATGTGCTGACTGGATGGGACTTCAGGTTTGCTTCTGGGCGGTGGGAGAGGCTTGAGTGTGTTCTTTGTGTAGTGAAAGTGAGCAGAAAGATACTTAGTGATTAGAAGTCCTTACCAGTATCCATGTTTTCCTTTTCTTCTGGATATATATAACTAGATTATATAGCCATCTTCCTTGTAGCCGGATGGGCCATATGACTAGTTCTTACCCATGGAATTTGTTTGGAAGTCATCTGTGTTACTTCTGGGTCAAGGTAGTTTAAAGCAGGTGTGTCTTCTCCATTCTTTCTGTCTTTGCCCTTCCCACTCCCTATGTACACCAGCCCAAATGAAAGGATCTCTGTTAGTTAACAGAGGCAGAGTCCTTAGATGAAGGGAGGCTGGGGCCCTGAATTCATGGATGAGAGCCCCTCTTCCAGTGTACACTGGACTCTCACATGAGCAAGAAATCAGAAAAAGGAATCAAGGGTAGGAGTGGGGATAATCTTATAGGCCTTGTTGAGAAAGTGAGATTTGAGCAAAGTCTTAGATGTCTGCCTGCAGACATCTGGGGAGGAGCAGAAGTTTTCAGGATCATGGCCGTACAGCAAGAGTGTGCATGTGAATTCAGGGAACAGCAAAAATGCCAGAGTAGCCAGAGCAGAAGGAGCAGCAGGAGAGCTGTAGGGAGGGGGTCAGAGAGGTGACAAGGGACTTGCTGGCCATTGTAAGGGCTTTGGCTTTTACTCTGAGTGAAAGGAGGAATCTTTGTAGAGCTTTGGGTAGAAAATAGCTTGAGTTGATTTATATTTTAAAATGATCAG